TATGTATGTATGTATGTATGTATGTATGTATGTATGTATGTATGTATGTATGTATGTATGTATGTATGTATGTATGTATGTATGTATGTATGTATGTATGTATGTATGTATGTATGTATGTATGTATGTATGTATGTATGTATGTATGTATGTATGTATGTATGTATGTATGTATGTATGTATGTATGTATGTATGTATGTATGTATGTATGTATGTATGTATGTATGTATGTATGTATGTATGTATGTATGTATGTATGTATGTATGTATGTATGTATGTATGTATGTATGTATGTATGTATGTATGTATGTATGTATGTATGTATGTATGTATGTATGTATGTATGTATGTATGTATGTATGTATGTATGTATGTATGTATGTATGTATGTATGTATGTATGTATGTATGTATGTATGTATGTATGTATGTATGTATGTATGTATGTATGTATGTATGTATGTATGTATGTATGTATGTATGTATGTATGTATGTATGTATGTATGTATGTATGTATGTATGTATGTATGTATGTATGTATGTATGTATGTATGTATGTATGTATGTATGTATGTATGTATGTATGTATGTATGTATGTATGTATGTATGTATGTATGTATGTATGTATGTATGTATGTATGTATGTATGTATGTATGTATGTATGTATGTATGTATGTATGTATGTATGTATGTATGTATGTATGTATGTATGTATGTATGTATGTATGTATGTATGTATGTATGTATGTATGTATGTATGTATGTATGTATGTATGTATGTATGTATGTATGTATGTATGTATGTATGTATGTATGTATGTATGTATGTATGTATGTATGTATGTATGTATGTATGTATGTATGTATGTATGTATGTATGTATGTATGTATGTATGTATGTATGTATGTATGTATGTATGTATGTATGTATGTATGTATGTATGTATGTATGTATGTATGTATGTATGTATGTATGTATGTATGTATGTATGTATGTATGTATGTATGTATGTATGTATGTATGTATGTATGTATGTATGTATGTATGTATGTATGTATGTATGTATGTATGTATGTATGTATGTATGTATGTATGTATGTATGTATGTATGTATGTATGTATGTATGTATGTATGTATGTATGTATGTATGTATGTATGTATGTATGTATGTATGTATGTATGTATGTATGTATGTATGTATGTATGTATGTATGTATGTATGTATGTATGTATGTATGTATGTATGTATGTATGTATGTATGTATGTATGTATGTATGTATGTATGTATGTATGTATGTATGTATGTATGTATGTATGTATGTATGTATGTATGTATGTATGTATGTATGTATGTATGTATGTATGTATGTATGTATGTATGTATGTATGTATGTATGTATGTATGTATGTATGTATGTATGTATGTATGTATGTATGTATGTATGTATGTATGTATGTATGTATGTATGTATGTATGTATGTATGTATGTATGTATGTATGTATGTATGTATGTATGTATGTATGTATGTATGTATGTATGTATGTATGTATGTATGTATGTATGTATGTATGTATGTATGTATGTATGTATGTATGTATGTATGTATGTATGTATGTATGTATGTATGTATGTATGTATGTATGTATGTATGTATGTATGTATGTATGTATGTATGTATGTATGTATGTATGTATGTATGTATGTATGTATGTATGTATGTATGTATGTATGTATGTATGTATGTATGTATGTATGTATGTATGTATGTATGTATGTATGTATGTATGTATGTATGTATGTATGTATGTATGTATGTATGTATGTATGTATGTATGTATGTATGTATGTATGTATGTATGTATGTATGTATGTATGTATGTATGTATGTATGTATGTATGTATGTATGTATGTATGTATGTATGTATGTATGTATGTATGTATGTATGTATGTATGTATGTATGTATGTATGTATGTATGTATGTATGTATGTATGTATGTATGTATGTATGTATGTATGTATGTATGTATGTATGTATGTATGTATGTATGTATGTATGTATGTATGTATGTATGTATGTATGTATGTATGTATGTATGTATGTATGTATGTATGTATGTATGTATGTATGTATGTATGTATGTATGTATGTATGTATGTATGTATGTATGTATGTATGTATGTATGTATGTATGTATGTATGTATGTATGTATGTATGTATGTATGTATGTATGTATGTATGTATGTATGTATGTATGTATGTATGTATGTATGTATGTATGTATGTATGTATGTATGTATGTATGTATGTATGTATGTATGTATGTATGTATGTATGTATGTATGTATGTATGTATGTATGTATGTATGTATGTATGTATGTATGTGTGTACGTGTTTATGTAAGTATGTATGTTTGCATGTATGTATGTATGTATGTACACATCACATACGCTCACGCATCCGTCCACCGCCACCGCAACCCAAGCGA